CAGTCCATATTAAAGGATACTACTGTGGTTCTTTTCAAGTTTGAGCCAGTAGTCTAAGTTCCCGCTGCTGCAGAAAGAATGGAGCATAGTGGGAGATATCCAGGCTCACTTTCCTCCCTCAGAAGTTGAAGTTGTTGAAAGCAACGCTGTGTATAAGACTCAATTATCACGGTATGTAATTGCTGGCAGAGATTAATTTACTCCTTCAGAGGAGGCCATTTTCCTGGCGTTCATTCTAATACAGTATAAAAACATCATCCACACAGGGATAAAAGTCCATTATAGGAATGAGAAACTTTTTACTTTTATCCTCATTTCACTGTGCTGAGTAAGTTTTAATATCAGGACTACATTACATTCCGCTCTGCTGCCTGTCAATCAACTTAGACACACAAGAAGAAATGAAAAGAAAGCCTCAAAAACATTTTGCCAATAAAACTGAAGTTTTCTAAACCAGTATCCAAAGCAGAACAGTGATATTGACAAGTGAGATTGATGATCATATTATACAATACATGCAAGCTGAGTATCATTAAATGAAAGAAGTGTTTGTGGTGTCATGAAATGGTAAACTGTAATTACTGTAGTGCATTGCAGAATCACTGTCTTAAAGCCTAAGGTGTTATATTATTATTAAATTACTCAATGAAAGCGTTAATACATTACAGTACTAATTACACAAGATTATAAGTAATTAGTTACACCTGTTACATTACAGCTCAGTCAAAGCTCCTTTGAACAACTTCTAATTGTCACATTATTGTATTTAAAGAATATGCAACATTTCCGTCTCACAATGTCTATAAACGCTAGACTTATGTTATATATTGTGTTGAGTTGTGTACTTACATTATCCCAAATGTTTCCAACCATGTTCAAACACAGAAATCTGTAGTTTCATCCAATGCTACTTCACAACATCATCCAACTAGTATTCTCTTATTGTTTTGATGTGAGAGTTCCCCTAAATAGAAAATGACTTATTGTACTTTAAAAACTTTGGATCTTGCAGAGGAAGCGAATATCCCTTGTGCTAAGCTAACACATCCCACAACCAAAATTGATGATGATCCAATTCCCGATAAAACATCAGCAAGCAGTCTGTCCCCCTGAACTGTTTGAGGAACATTACTGGGATTAGTAACTGTGATGTAATAACTGAATTTGAAATTGTAATCCTTGCTAATATAGCTGGTTACTGAAAAAAGACCTTACAATACTGTAACGCAGTAACTTCCCAGAACACATTGAGTTAACTCAAACTGTAATTTCATGCATTCTGATTTCATTGCATAGACTTGCTGTGCAGTGATTGAGACTTGCATATGGACATAATAATTTGTGTAAAAATGCATATTATTGGAAAATGTTTTTTCTCCCTTACACAGTTTCGGTTATTTACTGTGTTTCAGGGAAGTCGAATGAAAAAAATCTGATTAGCTGTTTATTGCATTTAGAGAAAATAAATGAAATATTCCATCCCTCTTTCAACACAACCCGTTTGTGTGTGTTTGTGTGCGTGTGCAGGTTGTATGTGCTGTATGCTGAAAGCAATGCTCTGTGCAAGCCTCAATTATCATGGTGTGTAATTGCTGGGTGTGATTAACTTCTGTGTACGTGGAGAGAGAGAGAGAGAGGGGGAGAGAGAGAGGGAGAGAGAGAGAGGTCAAAGAAGAGGAGAATGCTGATGGCTGTGTATCTGTGTTTATGCGTGTGAAGGAGACATCTGCTGGGACAGAGATTCGTATCAGGAGAGATGATGACATTTGGATGGAAGCAGCTCTGGTCCTTTTTCCTCGTCCCCTCGACACGTTTATACAGTGCCGTTGTGAACTGCTTGGGCTGCCCTCCATTATGAGTGTACCACTGCGTAACCTCGAGCTGTGTAAACAGTGACTTTATCAGACCACAGTTAATCTAAATGAGCCGCTTGGGTTTAATACAGTTTTGTTTTATTTCAGATAGAGATGCGTCGCGATACTACAGGTTCCAACACTGATCTCTTAAAGAACCCCTCCATGACATGTTTTAAGACATAAAAATACTCGGCTAGAAATAGTAAATTATGTCTGATGTAGGAAAGGTACGATATGAAAATTTGACCTCACCATACTGGAATCATACTGGAATCACTTTACCTAGCATTTTGTTAAAAACCACATATATTTGTTGCATCACAGAGAGGAGGCAACTAACTTCTTTATTTTGGTATCCATACTATTTTCACATGTCCATTTTGTTTTTTTTGTTTTGTGTGAGGGATACAACAGCCAAGCCGAGCCTCTAGTCATGGTGACAGGCTTAGGATTTTAGAAATGACTGGAAATATGCGGGCTCCCCCTTGTCCCCTTGTTCAAAATAAATCAGGAAATCAATAAAAGACTTTATGCTGGCAAGGTAGGCAGCTTTTTCAAGTCAAGCCATGTGAGAGATTCACGATTATCCCAATAATAGAAATAGTAGTAACAGTGTTTTTTATGATATCTTAGATCATCCAATCCCTAGTCTGATGTGTTTTCCACAAATCAAATTAAATCAGTTAAATTTGTGTTACTCCTCCTCTTCATCGTTTAGTGAGTATTCACGTCAGATTTACCACAGAAGCTGACAGAACACCTCATTTTCAAATGTAAACATTGCTGACTTTTATATTTAATTACAATATTATAGTATGTATTATATAGCATAACTAATATGATATTATATACTAATATATTGGTATATATAGTTTCTGCACAAAAAAATCTTATTTTCTTCATAGCTAAGAAAGAAACTCTGTTTACTGATGAATGTTTACGATCGAAGTCACACCAAAAGTCAAATCAGTTGTTCCGTTGCCAAATTGTTCAGTCTTTCAATAAAATATCACAAACTGTTCATGCGTTTTTTTAAAAATCCTGCTGATTGACAGACAAACTGAAAACCTGGGGAAAAAATTGATTAACAATGACAAAATGAATGAAATGAAACACGAGACACACACATACACTCAAATACACCTGTCTCTTCGTCTTCACCAAGTTTCATATTTTAGAAAAAAAGAGCAAGGTAAATATTTTAGAAAGAGAAAAGAATTTGGTGAATGCGTTTGAAGTCCAGAGAGGTATTTATCTCTGAATTTGTTTCCATCTCTCTTCTCATTTTGAGGCAGCAGCTTCATCCAGCAGGCTTCAAACAGACCAAAAAATTAGCTTCTAAAAGAGACTGATGAGCTGCAGCGGCTGATGTCCTGGACCACATTTGTGGACACACACATACACACACACAATCTGGGTTGATTAGAGTGAAGAAAAATAAGGTGTTTTAGTCAGCAGGAGACAATATTGCTTTTAGATAGAAAGCTGTTTCCATTAACCTCTGTACAGTAAGGGGTGATGCAGATTGTAGTGTGCACATACAGACATCTACTTGCACGCATACACACACACTCATAAAAAAATATTAAGAGTCTCCTCTCTTTCTGCCTCACAGCAACCAAACACTCAATATGCAGACACACAGTCTCTCCCCCCCCCCCCC